GTAGGGAAAAATAAAGCAGGGTGATAGGATAGAGACTGGTGGGGTGGGCTGGGGAGATTACTATTTTATGTGAGGTGGTCATAGAAGGTCACTTTAATATGGTGACATTGAAGCAGAGACCTGAAAAAAGTGAGGGATTGTATTAGTTATCTCTTGCTGTGTAACAAAGGACTTCAGGTCTTAGCAGCTTAAAATAAACAGTTCACAGTTTCTGGAATTCAAGAATCCGGGTGGTGCTTCAGGCTAAAGATCTTCTGGGAAGTTGCAGTGACGCTGGGGCTGTGGTCTCACTTGAAAGCTTGGTGGGGTGGGGAGATGATCCACTTCCAAGCTCACTCACATGGTTGTTGGCAGGCCTTGGTTCCTCACCACGTGGTCTTCTCCATGGGGCTGACAGGGCCTCTTCTTGTGGTATATTGACCCTTGTTCCTGTTCCTGCCAGAGCACCAGTTTACTGTGTACATTCTTTCATCCTGTAAACTGAGGCTCTTGAGAGATACAGTGGTGTCTTGGGCATGTATCCAGCCTTCAGGGACTTACCATCTAGTGGGGGAGATAAAGCCTGTATATCAGTCCCTGTGACCTGGGACAGAAACTGACTAGTGCCGTAAAGGGGGACAGATAAAGTGCTTTGGGATCCAGAAGAAGAAAAGATCCTTTGCAGGTGGGATTTTGAGGAAGGCTTCCTGGAGGAGATGGCATTTGCACAGAGCTTTAGAAATGGGAGGATAGGATCAGGGAGCCATGTGGAGGGCATGGCTTGAGCAAAGGCCAGGAGGGGTGGTGGGAAGGGCGGGATTGCAGAGAGCTTCGCTTTGCTGTCTTGGTGCGCCCCCCAGGGCCTTCTGATGGCACCCTGTGCTGTGCTCACATGGCTCTGTACCTCTCACCTCCAGGGCATCATTAACTTGGGCACCAGTGAGAACAAACTCTGCTTTGACCTGCTGTCCAGGCGGGTAAGTCCCGGTGCACCTCTGGGTGGCATCCCCAGCTCCAAGGGGCTGTCTTCTCTTGGATTCCTTGGAACACTTCCCCCAGAGAGCCTGCTGCTTGCTTCAGCGGCCTCGGGGACCACTTTCTCTGCCATCTTGGGAGAGTCACTTCCCCACTGTAATCCTCCTTCATCACTTCTTCTGG